CCGAGACCCTTGAAAAGCTGTCCCATCCCCTCCCCGGCAGCTTCCCCAGGGTGGGCTTGGGGCCAGCTCCTCCAGGAAGGATGCGGCACAGCCCTGCATGGTCCCAGCTGGCAGAGGACAAAAGCTTCAGAAGAAGCTTTCGGGCTCGCCTTCCCCCTCCGGCGCAGACGGGCAGGTCCGGACAGCGCTGCCAAGGACTTTCCAGCGGTGTGCGTCAGCAGGAACAGCATCGGTGATGCCACAAGGTCTCCGGTCCAGCGCCCGAGGTCCTCTAGGTGCTCAACCCTCTGTTCTCAGGCGGTGGTTTCAGCCGAGCACAGCTCCAACCCAATTTTACGGCTGCTTTTATCTGAGGCACGATCTGATTTGAAGCTCAAGTCGTCCCTAATAACCAGCATAAGCATGAGAGATGTTAGCATTCCAAGGAGCTGGGAAGGCTATCTTTGAAAGAGATAAGAAAATACATAGTAATATGTAAACAAGAAGAGGCCAAGCTGCACTGCTGAGCTGGTCATCTCTGGACTGCAGACCTGTTGCGCGCGCTTGCCTGGACACTGACTTCCAGGACACGAAAGGGTTGATTGTGAGAAATAATTTCCATTTTAATGCGCAAGCACTCGTTCACGTGAGCATACGTCACTACAGAGAATCCAGACGTGATTTATCAAGCCTGTGTCGCTGGGTCCTTTGCTACTGTCAGAAAAGAAAACAGCTTTTCCACCCGAGGTGACCGCTGTCTGGACACAGAACGCCGCAGCTCTGCCGGCTTCTTGCCAGGCTGCGTGTTCTGCTGCCAATGCCCTCCACACACTGCCTCCCTCAGCCTCCCCAAAATCACCTGAAAGCTCAGACGCAGAGCTGCCCTGAGCCCTGCTCTTCTTCTCAAGCCAGCAGCCCACCTCGTCAGAGACATCTCCCCGGTGCTGCATCCCCTGCCCTGTCTCCTGTGGGCTCTCACCAAACGGGACACCCAGGCTTTGGGCATTTTATGCTCCGTACACTTCACGCTCTACACGTCCCACTTGAAGGGGCCTGATTTTCTGAGCATTTCTTTGCTTTTCCTCTGATAACCGTGCTGGCGTTGAGTTTGGAACCAGCACGCGAAACTGGAGCGTCCCATGGAGAGAAGACAAATGTTCCTCCAGTTTCCCAGGACCTGCCATGAGACCGTGCCAGCCACGCTAGGAAGCGATGCGGTTCCTTTCTGCCAACACAGCCACGCTGTTCGCACCGTGGATCTTTCCTGCTGCCTCAAAACTTCGCTTCTGCAGGGCTCCCGCTGCCACTGACCCCCCCCGGCTCCCTCCGGAGCTCCCAGCGAGCGAAGCCGCAGCAGATCACAGAACCACAGAACGTTCAGGGTTGGCAGGGACCTCTGTGGGTCACCCAGCCCAACCCCCTGCCCAAGCAGGGTCACCCACAGCAGGCTGCACAGCACTGTGTCCAGGTGGGTCTGGAATATCTCCAGAGAAGCAGACTCCGCAGCCTCCCTGGGCAGCCTGGGCCAGGGCTCCGTCACCCTCAGAGGGAAGAAGTTCTTCCTCGGGTTCAGCTGGAGCTTCCTCTGCTCCAGTTTGTGCCCGTTGTCCCTTGTCCTGTCGCTGGGCACCACTGGAAAGAGTCTGGCCCTGTCCTCCTGACACCCACCCTGCAGATATTTATTAATTCCACCCACAAACGGTCAGTCCTCCTGACTCTTTACTTGTTTCCCCACTGGTGTATCCAAATGTCTTAATGAAGCAAATCTGATAATCCAACAGGATGATCAGCACCTCCTCCCATCGTATTCAAAGAGCTCTCTGCATCCCCAGCACCTCTGAAGCCTGGACGGGTCAGGTCGGTCTCAGGACACCCTGCCAGACCGCATAGCTTCTTGCTTCCCCCCATTCTGATTTTCCTACTCAACTTTCTAGTCAAAGGGCATTTACTGGCCACGGTGTGGAAACAAACCCGATCCTGTTCTGCATCTTGGTAACACAAAATGCCAAGGGTTCATAGAGAAAGGGCATGGGATGGAAGAAACCCGGAGGGCACCCGAGGGCTGGAAGCCCTTTGCTGCCAGGCTGGCTGCCTGGCTCCCTGCCCTCTCTCGGCCACGGGCACCCTCCTCTGCTAAAGCAGAATGAACAGCAGATTTCCCTCATCTTCACTAAAGACGTACAAACGGGCTCATTATTCCAAACGCATTTCAGACACATTTCAAAATAAGATCTCCTTGTGTTGACTCGCAAACTATATTTTGCTGAAGGCAGTGTACGGAGAGGACGCTGCCTGGAGAGCATCCTTCTGATACCAATCCACGCAGGGCTTTCCTGGAGCTCAGCCCCACAGCCAGTCCAGGGTGGTGATCCACGGCTACCACGAAGGGCAGTTGCTGGACATGCCCACAAACCAACCGAATCCCCCCCGGATGCGGTTCCCTGGCCAGCACCGGGTCACCCGGCTCGCCGGGAGGCAGGTCCGGAGCAGGGACCGGCTCCCACCGGGCAGGGAGCACTGGCCACGCTTCCAGCGATGACTAACGGCTGGGCAGAGGCGTCTGGATCCAACGGGTCACTCGGGAAACAGGGGAGACATCCAAGAGCCATGGCACCGAGCACTTGCTTTGGGCCAAACTAAAATAGACCCCATAAAGCATTACTGGAGCTGCTTTCCTTACTGTAGGAAGAAATAAACTATTCATTTTTTCCTGCCAAGGGGAAGGCCACTCCTATGGACTTCTCCGGGTACAGCCAAGGTGCGTTTGCTCTCGTAGAAGCCACCTAACCAACCCAACAGCGCAATCTCCTCCCGAAAAGGAGTCACCCCACGCTGAACAGTTCCTCACCAACACCAGCTCCTGCCTGGTCCAGTCTTGCAGAAGCCTGAGCATTTATTTTTGCCTCACTGTAAGAGGTAAGAGCCTTCAAAATCTGCATTTATGAAGGTTTAAGGCCTCACAAAACCACTGCAATCCTCTTGCCTACCTTCCTGTCTAGCAAAGCCCCGGCCACCTCACCCACGAATCCTGCACCACTGCAAGGCTGTGGGACATCAGCAGCAACATCTCCTAAAGAGAATCCACCACTCCTCTGGGCACATGGCGAGGTCTCAGTTAAAAATATCCACCCTGGTAGGTGCAGTTGGGCAAACCCAACCTGAAGCCACAGACCCTCCTGCTGCCAGACGTGTTCCACACAGCAGCTTCCAGACCACCGCGAGGTCATTGATGAACATTTCTGCATCTCAGGTGAGCTAAGCAGACAGACCACCTGTAACCCCACCAAGGCACACACCAGCACTGCTGCGAGACCTCTGTCCATTTCTCCCTTGACCGAGCGGAGCTGTGCCGGTGACAGAGCCCCTGCCCCGTGTCCATGCAAGAAGTCCCCTCTTCAGAGAGGAGATGAACTTTCACAGAGATACTGCTGACACCACGCACACTGACACGGCAGCTACCACCAGCAGTACGGTCACAGCTGCCACCAGCAAGATTCAAGCACCACTTCCTAACCACAAGGGCTGGGTGGACACCAGCAGAAAGCTGGGCACATACCGCGTGCCTCCCGCAGAGGAGGAGTACTCGAGGGTCCGATCTCAGCCAGCAAACAGACACCAATTGATACCAGTGGCTAAAACGGGGTGTAAAAGTGGGAATTCAGCCCATAAATCCACGTGGTTGAAGCCCTCATACACGAGAGCAAAGTGCTGCCACGCTGCAGGCAAAAGCTCTTTTCAGCAAAACCACTCTCAGCCCCGACGAAGATGTTCTGCTGTCACACCACCCCAGCAGCTGCTCACCAAGACCTCCCGTCACTACACGAGGATGTCCACCTCTTCCCAGAAGAGCTCCAGCAGCCTGCGGGCAGCCAGGAAGGGAAGCCCTCTCCTGCCCTGGGTACAGCCCCCATTTGGGGTAGGAGAGCGCCCAGCCGCCCTAAAACTGCTCCAAACGGAAAGCAAAATCCGTCCTCCTTGGCTATGGGAAATTCTACCTGCGGGAAGGGTTTTCTTGTTCTTCTTTTTCTCTCTTTCCTAATGCTGAAACCACATCGTAACCACCTCAACCCTACAGCACGGGCTGAGCTCAGGGGACTCCGCTTTGGCCGGGTGGCTTGGACATCGCTGCCCGATGAACCCTGAGGAACCAGCGAGGCTCTGCTCCATTGCTGGCAGCGCTCCTTCCCCACCGCCCGGGTTTCCAGTCAGAAACGACATGTTTTCCAAGAGAAGTATAAAGAGAAAATGACAGCTCTTTATAGCAGGAAATGCCTTTTTAATCTGAAGGGGAAAATCGTATAAACTTCTTTAGATCCATTACAGCTAACATTAGTTCTTTGTGAGCCTTATAAGGAGCATTCATTTTGACTGGATAATTTGTGATTTGAATTAGGAACTTTTAGTTACAGAATTAATTCCAGTGGAAAGCAAACAAAAAAAAAAAAAAACAACAACCAACCTCCAGTGGAAAGCAAACAAAAAAAAAAAAAACAAACCACAACCCAATTCTTTATTTTGCTTTGAAATATTTAAAAAGTGTATTTGGTGGGACCTTCTAATGTATATTAATTGAACAGATGTTCAGGAAAGTGATAGGTGGGGGTTAATGATGCTGGAGGCTTCACCGAAAGGAGATTTTGATCCCCGTGCTACTCCTGCTTGAGTCAATAAAACCTCCACTGGCTTGAAGGATCCGACGCAGCTCACAGCCTGCAGGAGCCTTGCAAGGTGCAAGCAAGCATCCAGACTTACAGAAATCAACTGGACCCACTTCTTCTATCAGTGAGCTTTTAAAAATAGTTTTGCCTCACTGTTTTTAGAAATACAGAACAATAACGTGGCCCATGGGGACGCACCGAGACCTGAACCCAAGAGCACATCTGCTCCAGGGCCAGCTGCCAGCCTTCTGCCGAAGAACCAAGCGAAGCCGACACGAGAGCACGTCAAAGAGAAGGGGACCTACCTGTTCACGGAGAGCAGCAGCTGGTCCATGCATGCTTTGATCTTGTTTTGAGCTTCTAGGTGCGTCATGCTCTCCGTGCTCTCTCCATTAATTGCCAGAATAATATCTCCTGGGCACAGGTTTGCCATGGCTGCTTTACTGCCGGGGTTGATCTAGGCAGGGAAGAAGAAAAGGGTTACTTTAAAAAAGTCCAGTTGCTTGGAATAAGCAGCAGATAAAGGGGAACAGTAATTTCTAGAGAAGACGTGTGTTGTCTACGCCAATGGCATCCACCAGAGGTTGGACGTCAGAGCCAGGGCTCGGGTCAGCCCCAGTTCTCCGAGCGCCAGCCTCTACAACAATGCTCTTAAATAAGAGATCTCTGCCAACCCGCAGCAGTGCGCGACCAGGTCCTCTCTCCAGATGTCCCTCCGGCTTGAAATAATGCAATGCCCTATTTCCAGAGACGCTTCACTCTCCTTCGGCTTGCAGGCCTTAAATCACGCTGCGAGAGGCAGTCCCAAAGAGCATGGCAAACCCTCCTCTCGGGCTGACCACGCCATCAGAAGACGAGCGCTGCCACCCTGATTGCTCCCTGCGGAGAGGTTACATTTGACATCAGTTTTTCCCGACCATCATTCAAATGACTTGTCCCTGGCCTTGCACGGAATGTCACACAGCTCCTTGCGTCTCCACAGCTCGTTCCCTCTGGCTTTGTAGGAGTGCCAGAACTTTATAAAACTCATAATTTCTTTCCTGAGGAACTACCGACAGGTCCAGGTACTGCTTGTGGTCAGCCGTAAGACCGATCCTGCAGCCCACAAAAGAGTTTCCTGAGAAGTTACCATTTCATTTCATGTGGTTTCAATTTTTGAAATAGTATAAAATGACACAAGGCATGGACAGGACAGGTAAATGTGCCTGTTTAAACTCTTCATAGCTAGGTGCTTGCCCTAAGCATCGTTCAGAGCATCTGCTAAAGCTCCACTAACCAACCACATGGTTTATCAAGTGAGAAAGTACAGCCAGTCTACCTTTCGGTCATTCATGTCTCGCTGGATGTAGAGCGCGATGGTGCTTTGATTCCGTTTCATCTTGGTTTACACGGGCATCTTGGGCGATGGGTCTCTGCTCCATCACACCCTGCTCGGAAGGTCCAGGCAACAGGATCGCTGCTCTGCCCTCCGCCTCCCCTTGGATTCAGCCCACGTCGGCGCATGGGGACCACCAAACGCTGACACACCAGGGGTATGGTTTCTAACCCAGTTTGAGACCCAGCGCCCAGCCATCAGCTCCACGGTGCCCACCAGCCCCTGACCACCGCATTAAATGGGCAGTCTTTCAGAAAGGGAGGCACGCACACCTCCCTGATTCCCTCCTGATCCGGCTTTGTCCAGCTCTATGGTCACAGGGATTTTGAAGAGGGTTTAGCCTTGCCACCAAAGCCCTTTGTGGGACGTGCTGGGGCTGCTCACGGGACCAAGGCCGGTAAAACAGCCAGCGCCAGGCAGACGACACCCGGCGTAGCACGGACTGGCTGCGTGATTACAGCCATGCCACCACTGAAACTCGAACCTGAAGGTGTTTGAGGAGCTCCAAACCACTTTGTGCACTTAAGTAGAACTGGCAGCCTGAATTAAGCCTTTTGTTGCATTGTCAGAGTAAATCAGCATTTACCATTTGCTCTTCAATAGTTTCAGCCAAGCTATTTTGCTCCAAAAACAAACCCACCCAGTCTTCTTCTCCCCTGTTCCCCGGCTCCCCTGTGACTCAGCCCCAAGCCAACAACAGGAGGTATTTCTGAACACAGCACACCCGAGCTGTAAAGCTCCGACACGGGACATTTCAACTGGGATAGGTTTATTTTCTCCCTGGCACACATCTGTCCTGTTGGGTTTTTTGAAGACTTGCAAGAAGACATGGCATTCACAGAGCATCACGCTCCTTCTACAGGTCAATTCTGAACACAGCACACCCGAGCTGTAAAGCTCCGACACGGGACATTTCAACTGGGATAGGTTTATTTTCTCCCTGGCACACATCTGTCCTGTTGGGTTTTTTGAAGACTTGCAAGAAGACATGGCATTCACAGAGCCAGAAGGTCAACCAGAAGGTCAACCAGAAGGTCAACCAGAAGGTCAACCAGAAGGTCAACCAGAAGGTCCAAGGAAGCATCACCATGCGCTCTCCTGTTGCTACCCGCCTCCCTTGGTGTCCGCCCCGCAGCCCAGCTGCCAGCAGACTTTCGGACTAGCAGACCTTCAGCTTGACCCAGGACAGCTGCATTTCGTTCTTGTCTATTCAACGCTGTCTAGATGTCTGACGGATTTTTTTTTTCTCCCTGCACTGATCTTAACCAGACTGTGGCTTCCCTGGAGAATAAGCTGCTCATAAATGGGGCTCTTCGCTGTTTCCTATTTTTAGATTCTGGTTTATTTCAAATTATTTTGGCAGTATCTTCATATTAGCATTTTATGGTAGCCGTGGAGATGACCGAGGGCTTGAAACGGAGCTGCACTCCAAGAACTCATTAGTTTGAGATACAGCATCGGTGTCACAGCAGCTTGGGAATCAGTATTGTAATGTCTGTCAGGTCCAAAGTTTGTATTTTAATGAATAATGTTTAAAATATTTCAAATCTAGTTCTCCTGACTCACAGCTGCGCAAAGCCATTGACACCAAGCAGCCCTACGAGCCTGGTTATGAGTCAGGGCTGCGTCTGAATCCTCGGGCAAGGGTCCTACCCGCTTCGCTCCGTGCGCACCCGTGCAGACAGCCGACTGCAAAACCAGGATCTCCGTAAGGAGCAGGACCCAAGTTGAAGTACACTCATTTTTGTAACAGAGTCGATGCTTGGAGCGAAACAGCCGAGAAAGACGACCCTCCGTCATCACGTGGCAACCAACAACTACACGAGGAAGGAGCAAGAGGGATCTGGGTGCCTTGCTCAGGCACCCACCAAGCTACAAGCAGGCAGCACCCAGCAGCAACCGGCTCACCCCAGAACGCTCCTCAACCAGCCTCTCTCCTTGCACAGGCCAGCTCCTGCCGAGCATCTGCCGTGATAAACCAGCACTTACATAAAACAAGAGGTCTTCTGTTCAAGTGAGAAGCCTTGATCTGCAGACCAGCCCGTTCTCCGGGGCTGTAGCCCCAAGCGCTGTGCCCACAGCCGCGCCTGCTGCCCGCAGGGGACGCTGAAGCCCGGCAGCGCGGAGAGGTTTCGGGATGGAGCCCTCACCGGGGCGCTTGCCCGTAGCTCCCTGGGCTCGGCCGTGAGCGGTAACCGCAGCGTGTGCGACGCGAGTGAGGCGTGCGTGGATTCGAGAGCGACTGGATGCGTTACGGAGTAAAAAGCACTGCAGAGAACCTGCACCGAGCCTCCGGAGCCCGGTGTCCTTGAAAGGGGCCTCCAGAGGAGCTGAGCTTCGAGAACAGGACAGGCTTCAGAAAACCAGCGACAAGATTTTTGTTGGTTTGTTGTTGAAGTTCTCCAGCGGTGCTAAGAAAAAACCGTTCTAAAAGTCCAGGTCGGGCTCCGTCCCATGGCCCCCAGCGTGCCCCATGCCTCGGCTTGCCCACGCTGGGCGCCTGCCAGGATTGGGCTGTTTGTCTGCTTTTCCTCCAGCGAAGAGCTCAAGCAGGGCAACCGCACGCTAGCGAGGAGCCCCCCTGCTCCCTCATGCCCTGCCAACCCCCGGGGCTCCAGGGCCCCGCGCTGGCACCGGTATTTCAGGGCTGGAGCGAGGTGCTGGTGGAGATCAGGGTCTCCTTCCCTGCAAGGCCACCCAGGTCCCAGCGAGCTCTGTTTGTGCCGCGGGGGAGCAGCCACCTCGGTACACACTGAGAGCAGTTGAGGGTATGGCACCCAGCGCCAAACCCACAGCAAACACCACAGGCTTGAAGCAACGTAAATATTTTATTGAAGTTCCCCTAAAGGTTTTTCTTTTTCAGCTAGACAAGAATCCTGCCTCACGGTGAAGAGCTGAGCTCCCAAAGCCACAACTTTCTGCAGCAAGGGAGCAGAACTCCTGGCCACCAATTAACGTGCACTGCTCGTTATTGCTGCCCTGCCCTCGAAGATATTTTCCCAGTCGCGTAAATCCAAAGCCAACCGATGGAGAGTCACAGAGTCACAGAATGGTAGGGGTTGGAAGGGACCTCTGTGGGTCATCTAGTCCATCCCTCCTGCCGAAGTAGGGTCACCTACAGCAGGCTGTAGAGGACCTTGTCCAGGCGGGTCTTGAATATCTCCAGAGAAGGAGACTCCACAACCAGTCGGGGTGAAGTCGCACAGGGCAGCCTAGACAACCCCACAGCCTGCCAACGAGAGGGGAGAGGACCTTCCCTCTGCACCTTCCCTCTCCTGGGTGCCATCCAGCTCTTCCCTTGGGCCACACCTGGTGCTCAGCAGGGGCTAAGCACAGCCCGGGGCGCGATCCCGCAGAGCCAAACCATTTTCTGGGAGCAAATCAAAGCAACTCTGAGCAAGGGTCCAGCGCGCTGGACCCGTCACCTGGGACCAGGGGAGGGATGGGGCTGGCTGGCAGCAAGCTCCTCACGAGATGATCAAAGGCAGCTCCTTATATGCCCACGGAGGTGGATTCGGGTGTGCTCTGCCCGAGGCGAGCGCGCACGCACAGCACGGCGTCTGCTCCGGGAACGCAGCGTAAGCACGCGGCCTTTCTCGTGCTCTCCCAAAATTAAATCAAGTCAATAGAGAACAACGTTCCGCATTTAATCCGCCCGTAAAAATAAGCAGCTGCTTCTTCATTTCTCTCTCTCTCAAAAAAAAAACACAAAAGCAGATGTATAAGAGCATTTATAAACAGAAAATACTAAAAGAAACCAAACACGCGCGCAGCTAGCAATGCTCTAACCGGAGGGCCCGTGGAGGCTTGCGGCGCGCGTGCCCCCGTAAGCAGCTCCAGGCTCTCCCGTGCCGCATGCCTCCCACCGGGACTCGCTCCACCAGGCAGCAGGACCGGGGGGGTTTCCAAAAAGCGTGTTATTCTCCCTAATCCCCTCAGGTCCAGTCTCATTTGCGACGCCTTTGTACGTCCTCCGCATAGCGCTGGGCTTCAAAAAAATACCAGAGGTCCAGTATCGGTGCCTCTCTCAGTCCTTTTATAGGATTCCAGCAGGAAAAGAAGGCTTTTAAAGAAAG